GATCGCAGGCGGGATGCATTTGGGGTGCAAGAGAACGAGAGGTCGTTCGACAAGATGGTGGCTCGGTATGCGAGCGCAACCCCTTGCAGCAAAAAAAAAAGTGTCTATAGAGTCCTCTCTTACTTCGTCGAGAGATCGTTACGCGTTAAATAAATGACATGTCATAATCGAGGGAGAAGGTGAACGTAAAAGATGTCGTTTATAATATTTATAGATTATCGATCTTAGAATTTAATCGGTAGATGTTACAACGATTGGGAAGCTACCATTTTTATTTATTTTGTTATAACTACAATTTCCACCAATTTTCTAAAAATATCAGATGAATAAAGATAAAGGGGAAAGGGAAATATAATTATCTTTCAATCGCTATAGTAAACTTAATCATTGGAATTTATTCTTCAAAGCAACATTTATTATTCGATTGCCTTAGTGAACAAATTGATGACCGTATATCCGTAAATGAATCACGAGTAAATAATCTTTACGATATTCTTTGTTAGACGCAAATAATCCTATTAGATTTATATTGTGTTTTTACCGTCATTCCAAAGTAGCTTAATAATGTTTTCCAGCCTCGCTCCAATTCCTGCGCGCTCCAGTTCTATCATTATCATTAATCTAATCATATTCGCGCCTATTGGATCGGTCGTTTCAAGATCCAACCAGTATCAAGTTTCCCATTTAGCACCTTTACCAGCCACTTCAAGTTACCTCCTATCGTAAATGTGTTCTAAAGAAGGTGAACTGCAGAAAAATCCGGCCAGCGGGTTCACCGTCACCGGTAAGAGATAGTCGATGAAGGAAAATGTCGGGGCCGCTCCCGGAGGTAGATGGCGGTGGTGGGAATGGAAAAAGGAGAGAGAGAGAGAGAGAGAGAGAGGTGAAGCAAGGCGCGGTTACGGAAAAGGTCCGGGAAATCCGGTCCAACGACATACCTCCCGAAAGATGGGCTCGTAGGTGGAAACGGTGAAAGCTCCGCCTCTCTCTACCGTATTTTCTATCACGTCGCGACGCATTTTCCTACTTCACGCACGAGAAGCTCGGCCAGCTCGTTTCCCTGCAGTCAATCCCGCGGAATGCCACGAAAGAGAGAGACATTCTCTCCCCTCCCACCGTCCCCTTCTGAGTCATTGAACTCTATTCCATCTCGCTGCATAGAAATGAAAACGCTCAACGTATCGCCAAACTGTCGGCGATACTTTGAATGCAGGAAGAAGAAATGTTATTGTAAGATGTGAGCCGATGGATAAGATAAGCGGTTGTAATAATGGTAGATAAGGGAAAAATACAAAATGCGCGAACAAACATTCAAAAGATGTCTAAATGTTTAAAGGAAGCCCTATCTAAAAGATATCCTAAAAAAACTCGGGATACTTTTTATATCTTAAGATTTGTTACAAAACCTTTTGTCTCATACCAAGAATAAATTTTCATGACTTATATCCTAATTTTTTTAAAATATATGTTATGTACAAAAAGTATTTGGGTATATCAACTATAAAATATATCTACCGATAGATCATATATTGAATATATTCTTTCTTTCTTGCTTTTCTCAAGCGATATCTTTGCATTCCTCCAAAATTTCGCATCTCTTAGTATGATAATTTATATCTCGCTGTAAAGAATAGATTTTTAGATTAATTATGACAGCAATCGAATACAAAAAAGGATGCAATAAAAGAAATTAAAGTTTTCTTTTACTACTTGCAATACATCTTAAATTAAGTCTCTATAAAATAATCTATACCACTTGCGCAGTAGAATTTTATCGCGCGCAAGCGAATTTATATTATACTTTGTTTTAAGTTTTCTAAAAAAAGACAGCGTTAATTCTAGACTATCTTCTGGAACCTGCAGCTTGATACTTGACAATAAAATATTGAATAACAATTATATTACATAATCTTCCTATAACGCAAATTTGGGTAAATTGCCCGACATATTAGATCATCTTTGACATTATAAGTAGTGACAGTTTTTAGCTCTCTGTGAGACGCTAGATCATATATTGAATATATTCTTTCTTTCTTGCTTTTCTCAAGCGATATCTTTGCATTCCTCCAAAATTTCGCATCTCTTAGTATGATAATTTATATCTCGCTGTAAAGAATAGATTTTTAGATTAATTATGACAGCAATCGAATACAAAAAAGGATGCAATAAAAGAAATTAAAGTTTCCTTTTACTACTTGCAATACATCTTAAATTAAGTCTCTATAAAATAATCTATACCACTTGCGCAGTAGAATTTTATCGCGCGCAAGCGAATTTATATTATACTTTGTTTTAAGTTTTCTAAAAAAAGACAGCGTTAATTCTAGACTATCTTCTGGAACCTGCAGCTTGATACTTGACAATAAAATATTGAATAACAATTATATTACATAATCTTCCTATAACGCAAATTTGGGTAAATTGCCCGACATATTAGATCATCTTTGACATTATAAGTAGTGACAGTTTTTGGCTCTCTGTGAGACGCTTCGCAAACCTTCTGAAAGATCAAGACTCTAAGCCTAGGCATCTGAGCCTGATGGAAAATCCGTCATTGATCGTAAGTAAAACGATTGGATCATATTTATGATCACATGATCATGTCAGGCATCATATCGTATGAACATATCGCGCAGTTCGAACCAATTGCGGAATCATGATCACGATTACGACATTGAGTCTAACAGCCGCGCGACTTCAGATACAAGAGATAATTGGCGCCGAACCCCCAACTCGTGCACCCACACGTGGCAGCCGTCCGGAAGCGTCTGGCCGCATCCGCGGCGTCGTCGATCCCCCCCGGTGGAGGCTGATCGGGGCGTGTTTTTCCCTCGACAAGTCCCGCAGGCGGAAGGGATGACTGTGCTCGCAACACGGCGCAAGTCGGCACCCGTTTCCGACGCCTGCGGACTCGACTGGCATCGCGCTCGTTGCCGCCTACCGTTCCGACAAAGGGGGGACAGACCGCATCTGAGAGGTCTTCCCGTCCTCGCCGCACGGTCCTCTCACCGTGCGGCACCTTTGGCGGGCGTCGCCGCCAAAGCCGGGCGAGAGCTCCAGGTGCGCGTTCCACTCTCGCGACGTCTTCACCGCGTCGTTCCATCTCGTCGCTCGAGCCCCTCCACCTCTTCAAAGCCGCTCTCCCTCCCATTCGTATTCGCTTCTCTCTTTTCTTTCTTTTTTTTTTTATTTATTTTTGCGCCACGCTCCGTCTGTTTATGAATTTCTCTCCCGAGAGAGTAGAGGAGCACGCGCAAACGCGTGCATGGATTGAGAACAAGAAACGTGCAGTCGACCGAATATTTTTGCGCACAGGTCAGGAAAGTTTGCCAAATTCGATTTCTGCTTGCGTGGGATAATTGGAGGCGATAAGAGACGATGAGACGGTAGCCGCTGCACCTGTAACGTTAGTGATATTAATGAAGAGAGAAGCATTATAAAAAAATATATAAAGAGATGAATAATTAATCTTTTTATGCTTGTTCGCTGATATTTGTTTATGATCATTTATGCTCATTCGCTTGGTTTTATCTAATCCGACTTATAAATATGAATTAAAAAAGAATTGAGAACATCATTAGATTAGATTTATCAAATTATGGATATTGTTCCAATTTTTAGAAAGATTAATTATTGTCATATGACAATAGCTATTTTTGTATGTGCTATATCTTTTTACTAACTTTTTATAATTTAATTTTATCGATTTGAAAATGCTACAATCCAGAATCTTAATAAAAGCTTGTCATTTATGCGACAGAATATGCACATAGACAGGAAAAAAAACATGTACATTTAATATAGACGATAAGATAATACTCCTAAAAAATATAAAAAAGAAAAAGAATATTAATATTGCTAAAAATTGGGAAAATAGAAAGAGAAAAAAAATCTCTTCTTTATCATTTTATGTAAAAGAATTTTTAAATATATATACATATATTTAAAAATATATGTATATAATTAAAAGCCATAATTCTACGTTTACTTCAAAAAGAGATCACGGTATTTGACATTATTTTCATGCAATTTTCAAAACAATTGATGTTGTAAATCACATTTACATAGAGATTCACAAACATAGATCTTGTATCTCAAGCTTTACAATTACAAAAATAGGGAAATGCGCGCAATTATGTACTCACCGATAAAGATATCGCAGGTAAGTGCACATAAACGAATTAATTAATGCCGTTGCAAATGCGCAGCTGTAGCGTTATTCATGGTCTACAGTCTACAGGTGCGACACAGACGACGACAAGTTACCCGCAGTGCATTTCCTGTTGTATGCAAATGCATTCGGTGGAAGTTGTCTCAACACATTAATTTTCGATATGACACTGACAATTGTGAGTGCTTTCGTCGCGTTTGCGACGATGGAAAGACTGTCTCCGTTTCATAAATGCGCAATATTAATTATTCGCGAGAAACGCGACAATTGCATTGTGATTACATTGTACTTACCCACCGATATTCACACTTTGTCTTACTATCTTAACACGCGATCTACTCAATAAGCCTCAAGGACAAAAAAAAACAGAAAGTAATTTACGTTAAATGCATGAGAATACCTCGAAATAATGTAATATTAATGAGAGAAACGCACGCACGGAAGTGCGCGAGTATATAATTCTGCTAGCCCAATGCTTTCAAAGTAAAATTATTTGAAAAACTAGGAGATAAAAAGAATAAAACATCGCTGCTTTCAAATAAATTAACGACTTAAGAGAGATCGTTATACAAAGTCCTGAGACGACAGAGACGCTACTTTGTGTCGAAATCATCCTCCATGTGACTCATCCAGCTATGTATACATGGTCGTGCACAGTAAAAATACATTCGCAGTCCCACCTACGCGGTCTGATGATTTCACAAGCGCAAGAGTTATTTGCGGCGTTCCTCTCCTCTCTTTCGCAAGGAGATTTATCGCGGAGAGTCACGCTCGCGGATGTTACGGCATATCGAATCACGCTTGTTACCAGCGGAAGAAGGGCCGATTTACCTTTCCATCCAGTTCACCCTTGGCACCGTTCTTGCGCACCAGAAACGTGTACGGTTTGTCGGGCTGCACTCCACTATCGGGGAATTGCGCAACTTCGAGCTTGTGCGCGTCGCCCATCGCCGGCGAGATGTAAACTCTGTGCGGCGAATCAGGAATGTGCTGATCGTTGAACTTGATTCCCACTCTGTATTCGCCTGAAAGAAGACGATACACGATAGTAAATATATAAATAAATTAAGTAATATAAATATGCGATATTACTGCTATATAACATAGATATTGGTATAATAGAGAAGGGAACAAATTTATAATTTAAATTTATTAATTATAATTTAATTTTAGTTATAATTCCGCCTAAGATTAAATTTTACTATCCAAATAGAATGATAATTTTTGTGTAAAAAAGTTAATCTAATATATAAGGAGAAATAAAATGAATTATAAGATCGCACGCAGATCAAATACTATTTCTTTACGAAATTATAATATTTACACATAGATTGAGGTCTACATATCTATAATGCAATTTTTAAAAAATTATTTTTGTGTGAGACGCGGTAATTGAATAAATCACGAAACGTTTGAGACTTGTGTTTCCTGCTCCACGACGGTCGCGGACACATTCGCTCAAAGATCGAACTAACCATTGTTTTCCTGAAATGCTTGCGGCTCGTTTCCTGTCAGGACGATCTGCGTGGTGGCTGTGAAGGTAGCCATTGACCTCGAGTTTATGTCACGGATTTCGCCGGAAGTAAAAATTCAACGTCAAGGGAATCTTGGCGGGCGAGATAGGAAGGGAAGAAATCGAGGATGGCTAAAAGGGTTCGATCGGGGAGGGGGACCAACAAAGAAGAGTGCGAAAAGAAGAAACGAAAGGAGAGAAGAGGAAGTAAAAGGAAGGAAGAGAGAAAAAGACGAACGATCGCAGCTGCAACCGAAGGTTGGTCGCGTACCACTACTTTTCCACGGACCGATCTCGATTCGTCCGCGAGCTTTCTCCCTCTTCCCCTTTCATTCCCCGTACCCCCGTGTTTCTGTTTTCGCGCCCCTATGTCGCCTCCGATGACCGCCCCACCGCCTCGCGGTTCCTCTCCCACGGGGCCCAAATATAACCATCGCGCGTTAATCCGCGTCCAGCCGCGAGTGGCCAATCGAGGCCAAAATATGGATCCACCTTAACAAATATAGACGGCGATATTTCGGGATCGGAACCGAGAGAGCTGGATGATCAACGAGACGGAAGGGAGGGTTGAGGCAGGGAAACATGGTACGATGACGGATCAACGAGCAAGCCGAGCCGGATTCATTAACACTTTGTGGACGGCCGACGTTGATCTACGTCCGCGCGACCATGGTGCAAACGTAAATCCGACCGTGCATAAATACACGGTGTCCCATCAACCATCTGTTTCAATAGCGATTTCCTGACAAACGAATTTAGTGTCGAAAATTTGCAAAAATCTTGTGCAAGTATTTATCGAAAATCTAAGTTGCTTCTAATATACTCTTATCCAGGGCAGATTATATTTGTGATTTTAGTATAAAAAGAAGATATATTTTTTAATCACAGTCTTCGATCACGCATTATATACTGTCAGAAATTTTTAAAAATATGTTATAAATATTAATATATATAATAATAAATAAAATATTTAAAAAATATGATATGATTGTGTCCGCCAATCGATCCTGATCGATCTCGAAATTCATGCAACAATATAATATTAAAGAAGACATAAAAAGATTATTGATTCTCAGAAAATATCAGAGATCGGAAGTATAATGTTTGCTTTCCGTATCTAGAAGTTATCGAAAATATAAAATTGTTAAAAATAAAACGATATTTCGTTTTATCCTAGTGAAATATTACATGTGATTTAGCTACCGCGGGAGTAAATTCGCGCGTATTAAAGCCAACAGGCGTCCGTGCTGTGGATGATTTAACTCGCGCGAGTATCATTGGCGATCCACAGAATTCGTAGGGAGATAATTTTGGACGAGCTTTCGCGAGTCACTCGAATGACGGTATGCAATCGATTATGTACGTGCGGCGAATAATCCATCGCGATACAAAGTGTGCGCGCGATAAATCCATCGTAAATCACCAGACGATCCGTCTTATAACAAAATTATTTTAACGAATGAGTCTCTTAGGGAACGCGACATTACTGTCTCATAGTACAAATGGTTTTCGACAACTGTAATGGTACCGTTCAAGCAAGAATAGTATATCAACGTTGGCGAATGTCCATCTTTGCCATTACTTTGTGGCATTTTATTGACACTTAGAATGACAGCCCGGTATCTTGTTTGCCGGTATTCTTTGAAAGTTGCAGTTCCAAATTAGCGGTCGGATATGTATATGTGTAATGTATTGATTTGTTGCAGGTGCCATGACTTTAGACAATATTATCCGCATCTTTCATTGAATTTTACGACGACTGAAATAATCATGAAATATTCTCCTCATAATATTTTTGAGATTCCTATAGTTTACATTATTAATTTAAGCTTGCATATAAAAAAAATTAATGGAATCTTTTATTTATTATTTTAGAGAATGTGTGCGTATTTCTCTTTCAAATATATGAAAAGCTATAAAAAGTGTTAAAATCCATGAAGTTGAGAGAGAAAATACTCCATTAATATTTTATATATATCAAGTTTTTACTTTGTCAATTTAAAAGAGATTTTATTTGAGAAAACTAGATCTCTTTAATTATTTAATTACTGTTTTCTAAATATACTCACAAAGACTAGCAACAAAAAATTGAAACATAGATTATATTGAGATATTCTATGTAACGGTAAATATATCGTCATCACTTGAAACATTTTTGTGACATAATTTAATTAATATATCATTGTATTTCTTTAAAAACGTATATATGATACACGCGTCAGTTTTAAAACCAGTTTTAATAAAAACACATCGAAACGATAATTCATTTCACTTGCAAAAGAATTGGCATAAATATAAAGAGCACACTCGTAGCTTACCAGGTTCAGTAACGACGTAGCTAACATAACAGCTGCCATCCTTGCGATCCTTGAAATCTATCTGCGCTTTGCTGGGTCCCTCGACGGATACAGCGAGAGTGCCCGCGCCCGCTTCTCTGGTCCAGATGTTAAATTCGCAGGGCTCCCCTTGTTCTCCTCTCTCTAAACCAGGTCCACCCGCGTGAACTCTGTGGGCGCCGCCATCTCTGAGGGGGCCTACCGTGAACTGGAAGGGCGAGCCGGGGATGTGCATGGACTTGTAACGCACGGACACCGTGTGCACGCCGAGTTCCTTAGGCACGAATGCCACCGCGTAGATGCCGTCTTCGGCCTCCTTGATCTCGGCGTCCTCAGTGACACCGCCGGGGGACGTGACGGTGGCGGCAAGATCGAAGGATGTAACTCCGGGCATCTTGAAGGTCAGCTTGCATTGGCTGCCGACCTCGGTAATAGGTACAGCTTCTCGTTGCCTCTGAATTTTCTCCCGCTGCCGATTGCTACCTTCGCCGCTGACCTTAACAGTGAATGGCGAGCCCTCGACGTGGTGGTCCGCAAACTTGAGATTCATGATGTAGTAGCCGGGCTCGGTGGGCTTGTAGGAGATGTTCAGAGTGCCGTCTTCGTTATCCTTGCACTGGATCTCGGCTTTACTCGGACCCTCCATCGAAAGAGAGAGACCACCGAAACCGGCGTTTCTTGTGTCGATAGAGAAATTGTTCTCCACATGGGTCTTACCCTCCTTCAGACCGGGACCGGAGACCTTAACCTTTTTCGCGTCGCCGACTTCGCGATCCTTCACGTCGATTTTGAAGGGAGAATTCGGTATGTGCTTGCCCATTCTTTTCACGCCTACTACGTGTTCGCCCTCTTCGCGCGGCGTGAATGACACGCACATGTTGCCGCTCGGCATCTTTTTCAAGAAGCACGGTTCCTCGAGACCACTGGGCGCCGTAATTGACGCATTCAAGGACTTGATGTCGGCATCGGATACCTTACCCGGCAGCTGCACCTCGCTGGAAGAACCCACGGAGATCTGATTTCTCTTGCGACCTTCGCCTAAAAATAGATTTTATTTCTTCGGTTCATTTAATTTTTATCGCAAATTATAGATCTTTCTCAAGTGTCCATTACTGAATATACTTTGAAATATAGTTTGTAATGCGAAAAATAATCCTGATGCATTTACCCGTAATTTTGGCGACAAAAGGACTGCCCTTGATATGCTTGTCGCCGAATTTAACGGTGATCTTATATTCTCCGGGCGCTGTGGGCAGATAAGACACCGACACTGTGCCATCCTTGTTGTCATGGCAACATATTTCAGCCTTGCTGGGCCCTTCAACAGCCAGCGAGAGACCGCCTGCGCCGGCGCCCTTTGTCGAGATGGTGAAATTTCCAGGTTCGCCGCAAACGCCGTAGACCAAACCTGGTCCATATGCCGTCACATATCCGCTCGCCAAGGAGTCAACGTGGAATTTGAAAGGAGAACCTAAAAACAAAAAATTGTATATTAATATAAAATATATAAATGAAGAATGCCTTTTATATATGCAAATTGTTTTTGTAGATTTTTAAAGATGTATTATATGTAAATATATATTAATAAAGACGGAAAAAATGAAGAAATAGAGAAAATATTATAATAATTTAAAGATCTATATTTTTCCTTTTATAAAATTATATAAATTT